CTTTCTTGATGAATTGTCATCAATACTATTAAAAATTAGAATGCATCATTTTTAACACTCCTTTCGAATTTAAATCAAGAGAAAATAAAGTTGCTAGATATTTAAAACCGTGATTGTTTTTCACCGTAAAATGTGAATAACGGTTTTTTAAAACTCCATGCTAATGCCCTATTAATCTAAATGTCTATCTAACGTTTACTTGCTTGAATAAAAATATAATATTAGAGGGAGTTTCCAAGTTAGATGTGTTCATGTATGTATTACGGTGATTGACCGAAATTGGTGGTTTTTGACTTCCACCGGTGAATGTTGACATTCATATATTCGCTTTGGTAAATGTCCGAAATATATACTGTAAAATACTGAATATACTGAAGTACCACTGCCCGGTATGTCCTACATTAATGACACATTAATGACTTTTTAAGGTTCAGTGCCACTGCCCGGTGTATAATTGCTCGGTATGCCCCGCATTAATGTTTTTTTAAAGGTCAAGTGCCACTTCCCAGTATGCGTTTAACCGATACTCCGAATACTGATGTTTCTCCTAATCTATCCTCAGCAAATATTAAAATATCGAATAAATATAATAATATCGACGAATAAATTAATATCCAATTGGATATAACAAATATTTCGGAATTCACCAAAGCGACAATGTGATTGTAAACATTCACCGGTGAAAGACGACATTCTCTTGGTTTCGGTTATTCACGGCAACATATGCACATCACACGTTTGTCTTTAATTTTTGCATCTAGTATAAAATAAAATGTTTCCTCAAATCAATGCCTTCTCCGATAAAATCCTGGTTACTTAACTAATTAAGGGGATGGCCCTTATTTTTTGTGCCATGCTTTCAGTAAACCAATTACTTTTTTTTTTCAGTAAGAATCTTTATTGAGTGAAAATACGACAGTAATTAGATAACTACAGTGTGTTAAAATTTAACGAATGGTAGTGAATTACAATTTTGTCTGATGCACTGAAAAAACTCTGCTAACACCAATTAGTAAAAAGAAGAAGAAAAAAAAGAATTTTTTTTTTCGCACCGTCTGTGAGAAATGAAACTTAGTTGAAAGAACATTTGATTTCTCGCTGTAGGTGTTTAAAAAAAGTTTTGCAATTAGTGTTTTTCAGTTGTAGAATATATAACGGCGTTACAAATAATGGATTTTTGGCACATCGAAAAATTTATTCTCTCCATTCCAAAGAAGGGTATTTTTCATTTTTTTCCCATTGAATAAAATAACAATTCCTCACGATCATGTGCATGAATAAAATTTGTTTTGTTCTAAAGAGAAAATAAAGAATAGTTTAGAAAAAGAAACTAAATTATTAAAAGGTTTAGTTTTCTTCTAAGTCTTATTTAGCTAAGTTCCAAATTGTCGTCGTCTTAGATTTTTAAAATGCAATGTTCCCCAAAGTTTTGGCTTTTTTTTCTTTTCAGTATATTTTACAACCACAGAATCTCCTCCTCACAAACAAGATCAGGATTCTTTTATCAATTTGAATGTTTTGTTCAATTTACACCATTCTTGTAACACAAATAAGAGCAGTACCAATTATTTTCAGGGGCTTAACGAATCAAAGTACCCAATTGCTTGCTCATTGCAAATTAATTATTTTCGTACCGATAAACTATTGCGATGCATCTGCTTCGGTCTTGCCAACATTACAACTCTAGCAGACATGATTATTTTAAAGAAGACTTTGAGACCTATGAGCAACTGCTCTTAATTGTCCAAATTTCTTTTTAGGCAATGGTAAAAGATAATACAAATCAAAAAATATTTTTGGTATAGTCTGGTTTGGGGTAAATCATAAAGGATTTTCGTTAATTTTTATTCTGACTTTAACCGGTATTTTCTGGAATTTTTTTTATTTATTTAATTTTGAAAGTAATTTGGAGAATTTAAAATTTGAGTTTTAATTATTATTTTTTTAAATTCTTCTCTTTAACGGAAAAGTCTCTGGAGGTGGTTTAGTAAAGTTATAATGAAAGTAAATTTACCTATACTAACTAACTTTGACTTTTAATACTACATATATCATGCATATCTTTCTTTGCTTTCATATTTATCTCGATCTATTTTATCTATTCATGGCTGTATATCTCTATAGATTGCTGCCATATCTATCTCTGATCTTCTATCGACCTATCTCTTTTTTATGGACTCATTTGATGTTTCATAGTTTTCCTTTCCAATTCATCATACCTTGAAAAAAACTATTATTCATAAGATAAACAATGGGTTATGGAATGCTTTTTACATTATATAGTCAGTCAGCTAACAGAAATAGTTTATTAATTTACTTAAAAGCTGCATTATTTATTTCTAAAAAAGAATGTCCTCGAATTCTCATATATATGCCATTATCATTTGGATTCCATATGAAATATTAAGTGAAGACCATTATCGAAGTTCTTGTTCAACCGTCTGGAAAAATGATTGCATTTTTCATCGGCAGGAATTCTTAAATGTGAAAAATGGGTGTCTAAATTTTCCCTCGGCAATTCTTTATTTAATTCCAGGAGCTTTAAAATAATCGTTGATGTTTCTAATTTAATGTTTTCCCCGAAATAGCCTGACCAGGCCAATGAGGCCAATTAATCGTTTTGCAGCATCAGCGTATAGCGGCCGAGAAAGTCAAATTATTCACGTGCAATTGAGAACGATGATTGTTTCTGTTAAATACTCTCCAATTATTAATTGCGCTCATAAATCTGAAATTAAGAGTTTCGAATGCAGTTACAGTTACGACAAATACCAAATATGAATTGCTTAGTTTGCGCTCCTAGAAATGAATGTCGGAATTTCGGATTTAGTATAACATCCTGCTTGTTCCGAATGCGAAGTTATCGGTCAGGATTATAATTAAGCAGTTAGATTGTCAACTGTGGAGCTGATATATTACATAACGCGTTCTGTTTGGGATAATACTTATTTCCGCGTTATCTTATTTAACTGTTCGTCTTATCGGCTCTAAAGCAAATGTAGAAATATTTGATATATTTTAAATTTTAATCAATGCTCCTTTTCATGCACAGTGCACCCCCCTGCCCCCCCCTCCCCAAAAAAACAGACTACCCTGAATAATTATTGTTTTAATGATCGGATCTTCACGCTATAGGACTCAATTTTAATAGTTCGAGGGGGTGACCTCAGATATACTAATTAATAAGTTCAGACGGTATTGTTAGTAATGAAATCAGACGTAAAAACGTACTTTTTCTGAATAAACATACCTTTTATTTCGACGGATTCGGATACCTGACCCCTAAACTATAGATAACTCGGAAATATGGTCCTCGTTGTTTGGTCGCGAGAACGATCCAAAGTTTGGACCTCATAATGTTAATTTTACTTTTTGCGTATTTCGCCATAGCTCGAGAACTTAAACGAATTGAAAACTTTTTGCACACAGGTATAAAAATCGTTTGTCCAAAGCTAATTCCATGCTAAAAATAAATTTTATTAAATATTTATTATTTTATTTAATATTAGTCGAAAAAAATTTTGAATTGTAAGTTTTTTACATGATTAAAATTTTTTACATCATTTACAATTTTTTACATCATTTTAAAGTATGTAATTTTACACTGCCAAATACAAAATTGAAGCGAAATAGGTTTTATAGTTCTTGAGAAATCGAATTTTAGAAAAGTCGCATATTCAAAATTTTTAATTATCTTTGAACATTTTTAAATTTGACAAACAAATTCTATTATTGTGTGCAAAAATAATTTAATTCGTTTAAAAAGTGCTCGAGTTCTGGCGAAATGGGTCAGAAGTAAAATTATCATAAGGGGTCCGAACTTAGGACAGCTGTCCTGACCAAATTTCGGATTAAGTATTGGGAGACATTTTGCCTTCGTGCATGACTTTTGATAGAACTAATCCGTATTTGCGTTACATGGCCAGAGAAAAACCACGAAAACCTCCCATGGTTAGTCTGACGGCAAGGGGACTCTAACCCATGATCCGGCTATCACTGAGGATATTTTACGTCAGCACTGTGGTCGTTGCGAGCCGGGCGCGGAACTCGTATCGACTAACCATCGCTGGGATTCGAACCCGGTTCACCTCATTGGGAGGCGAATGCTCTATCTCCTGAGCCACCACGGCTTCAACTAGTTTTTATTAACGATTTTATTTTCTAACCGTCGTTGAACAGCCGACCCAATTTTTTTGGGTTTCGACTACTAAAGCTCAACTCCGTGGACTTGTAATTCTAAACCCAGTCCAGAAGACAAAGGAACTCCAAAGGATCAAGTATTGGGAGAAATTTGCCTTCCTTGAGGACTTTTTTAATAGAAATAACCCGCATTTGCGTTACACGGTGAGGAAAACTACGAAAATATCCCACGGTTGACCTGATGGCTTAGGGACTTTAACCCATGATCCATCTACCACTGAGGATATTACGTCTGCACTGGGGTCGGTGTAAGCCTGATGCGGAATTCGGTATCTACCAGCCATCGCCGGGATTCGAACACGGTTCACCCAAATGGTCGGGGAACGCTCTATCCCCTGGGCCATCTCTGCTTTTCCGTTAACGATTGTCAAAATTAGTATTTATATTATAAATAATATGTAATGGCAAAATTCTTTTTTCTTCTTCATTTTACCGTATAATGCACGCCTATTTTACTGAATTTTTTTTATTTGTGTGACAAAAATAGTTTTGAACTTAAGTTATTTAATATTGAATTATACATTGAATTTAAATTCGAATGTGTTGTTTACTTGTGAAGTTTTAAAATATCATTTTCAAAACATGCATTTCAAAATATTTTTTTATATCTCTCTTCTAACTGAATAGTCAAGAATAGCCAATTAATTGATTAGTTAATAAAGCTAAATATACTGATAAAATTAATAAAAATGCTGAAATAATCGAGGAAAATTTAAGTCTCGTTGTGACTCAGAAAATTGCTATTTTTGAAATGTTTCATTAAATTAGTAATCATCCGTAACACATTGCCTTTGTTCTAGAAGACTGTGATACTGATCAGGAAACGGACAGACTTCTCGGAGCTCAAAGAACAGATGATAAAGGCTTTTATGACGACAAAGTAAGTTGGCTTTTTTTTAATTATATTTTTTGTTTCATTCTATTTTTATGTTCAGTGGGTCTTCAAATTCTGCTCCAAAATACCGCGCTTAATCTAATTACAGGCCGCTTTTGAAGGGCTGAAATATCACACGTGGTTCTTCAACCGCAGCTGTGTTATTAGGTAGAAAATACACTCTGGTGTGTGTTAATGCAATCAAGCAGTATTTTTTAGTCTGGTCGTTTAGTTTAGTATGGTGGAGCTCTAGTTAACAAAGCAACCGTGTAAACTTTTCGAACTACTGTATTCACTGCTGTGGAGAGTTAATATGTATTCCGAACTACAAATTGAGTCCGTCTGTAGTTCAGTAAATAATATCGTGATTGACAATTAAAGTTTCCAATTTCTGTTTTTAAGGTGTACTGTAATTAATTATGCCATTACAGTAGACTCTCGATTAACCGGGATCGAATTTTCCGGGACTAACAGGAGAAAAAGTGAATATCGGATTGTAGTCGTTGAAATGTGCGGGAAAACCGTATTCTTCTTAACCCTTCCTTTTTTCGTATCGTATTGGACTCGTTGTAATTTTTTTTTTTATAGAATTTTTTGAACCAATAATGTTTTATTGCACAATAATTTTATATTTTCTATAATTGTTTTCATTAAAATTAGCATAAATTGGATTATCCTTGTTATTCGCTTATTCGGCACAATGTATTCTCGGTGAATCGAGAATATACTGTATTTCTTTTAACTTGGTGGAGTCTTAGTTAACGAAGCATCAGTGTAAACTTTTCGAACGAAGACTATCTAGTCTATACAAAATGAATGCAGACTATTACTTATGTCTAGGGTGTTAGTTTTAAAATACAATTCGTAATAATAAGTTTCATTAGTAGTGATAGGTTTGATATGTATTTCGAGTCGTCTATGTTTCGATAAATAATAACATGATTAACAATATCAGTTTCCAAGTTGTCTATTTTTATGGTGTACTTTAAAAGTTTGGTTTAGTACTATAGTTAGTTGCGGTTCTATTTCTCTTAGTAACGGTGGAATTTTAGTTAACAAAGCAACAGAGTAAACTTTTCAAACCGTAAACTAGACTAATATTTATTAAATGAGTTTATTGTTAGAGTAGGGTATCATAAAAAAATTGTGAAGTCTTGAGTTGCGTAAACGTGACTCCCCACATTATGGAGTTTATTGTCTGAAGCGGAAAAAAGTGAGTGAAACTTCCAGTTTTATTCCACCGAAAGAGACGAAAAAAGATTATTTTCTTTAGCCAGTACCAGCAATTAGATTTACTTCATAAAAGCTTTACGAACCGAGTTAACCGAGAACGTGGCGAAACTGGGAAAACGAACAGTGGTAACAGAATACAAACCTCATCTAAAACCCTAGGCGAAATCACCCAAGTATCTGCTTTTAAAATATTCATGTTATAAAGTGAAAGTTTCATAGTAATTCGATTCTTTTCGGGGCGGTTAAGGTGTCCTACAAGAACTATTAAAATGTATTCCAAAGTTAGATAAAATCCCTTTATCTTCCGCAGGCGCCACCTAGGAGTCCTGTTTTGAATTTACAATAGAGGTAAAATAGTAAATTATCGTGGTGAATATTTCTGTGAGCATTATCTTCTTTTTCTTCCATGTTTTGTGCATTTCTTGGGGGATATTGTATGTACACAGTGTTTTGATTTTCATGCGGAAAGTTATTTGCATATTGAAATGAGGTAGGGTGGATGAAAAATTTTTGTGAGAGTACTATGCCGAATATATCAATTATAGTTTTGAGTTACATAGGGAATATGTTTTTTAGGTACTCTATGATCTAATTCCCCTTTTCCTCTTTGGATTTTCTATGTAATGTAGGGAGAAATTCTAGAATGTCTTGTTAAGTTCTAAGCTTCTGGAAACTGGACTAACTTTATGTATAGTGATGGGTGCTTAAAAAGAATTTATTTTTTCTCCGCCTTCAGTTTTGTACCTTTATTGAATGAGATTTTATCTTTTTTTTTGTGTTACGCCTGAAAACTACTAAGGAATTTTTTGTCTTCTTTACCACGAGTCAGATTATCTGAATAACTTTATCTCTACGGCATAAAGTTTTTTTTTCCATAAAAAAAACTGAAAAAGAAGTCAAATTTTAAACTGGATGCATATAAAACAAGTAGAATTCACGTATGAAGCAGTGATGCGAATAGTTATAATTTTAATTTTAGATATTTCCTACTACTATTTATATAATGATTTATTTATTACTCTTAAATTGCAATAAATATAACAGTTTGGAATAGTTGACTATTTCTGAATCATTTGTTTGCGATTTCATAATCTTAATATCGATTAAAAAATAATTAGAATCTGCAATTGAAAGTAAATAAATAAATGAAATAATGGAGATTCTTAGTGGTTGATTGTAAATGGTGAATAACCCATTGATAGGTATATCATCCACTTAAATTTGTAATTATCACGTTCAATTTTAGATATTTTTTCTACGATTATTTAAAAAATGGTTTGTTGTTTTTAACTTTTAAATTGCAATAAATAACAGTTTACAATAATTGACAATTTCTGAATTATTTGTTTGTGATTTCTTAATCTTAATATCGATTAAAAAATAATTAGAATCTGCATTTGAAAAATAATAAAATAGTGGATATTTTTGATGACTGATTGTAAATTGTTGAATATTACATTGATATGTATATCCATTTCGCTTTTACGTAAATTATTTTATAATCTATATTGCATGCATACTTATCTACAGAATATATAATATTATTAAATATTAATGCATTTCAGAAGCGTTTGATCCCACAATTCTAATCAACATGCAAATTCCATTAAAATACTCTTAATAGTTATCACGAATAGTGTGCCCATATACATATTACTATTCTATACCGATATAGATCATTAAACTATTATACTCTGTTTGATTAGTTATGTCTGATTGAGTAATTATTTATGATCTGTATATTAATTACTAAAACACACAAATATTAATAGTTGGAATTCTCTCTCTCATTTTTTTTTAAATGACCAATTGGTGATATATGGGGAAAAAGTTTCCCCTTAATATGTATAATAAATGATGCTCTAATTTCTATCAATATCCATCGAGAGTAGGAAATAAAATAAGTTGAGTAAAAAAAAGAAAGAAATATTTTGCGGGATGTCAAGAAGTATGGAGACGGTCAAACATCTCGAGAAAAACGCTTGGGATCTAAAAATACGCATGGAAAATACTTTCATAAGAAGAAATACCAAACTAAAATCCCAACCTTACTCCCACTTTTTAATGCAGATTTGGATTCTCCAGAAAGTGTTTCCCAATTTGACTTAAAACTGTTGCATTTTGGTTCGCAGATGGCGCTGTACTCACATAATGAATAAAGGGTACAAGATATTAAACTCATTACGAATAAAGTCGCCCATGTACGTGAAAAAAGTTTCAGTGCATATTTGTTTATGCTAATTTGCAAATTTCTTTTTGGTACGCTTTAGCTTTAAGGAGCACCGTTCTTTGGCTTTAGATATAAATATATATATGATTAATATATTATGATAGACCGAATTATTTTATTTCTGCGGAATAAATACTAACAATATTGAATTGGTGCTACCACTTTTTTTCTTTTTGGGAGAAATAAACCATCTTTTTTGAAGAATCTTGGATTCAAATGAGTTAAATCGCGAAATATATGTCATATCGATAAAATAAAAATACACGTGTTTGATGTTTTGAAAAACTTTTCTATTTGACACCAGACTCGACCCTAACCCCTCCCCAGGGACTCTAAGTGCCTTATGACAATTAGTATACCTGATTTCAAAAATATTTCCACGGAGCATGAGGTAAAATGTATGCAATTAAAGAAATATGATCCTAAAGCTCATTTCGTTAACCCTTTGACGCAGATGGGGACACCGATTTCCCTTTCATATATTTTTTTCTTCTGCCGCACTAATTATAAGCAAAAATTACATTTTAGTATTTTTTAATTTTAAAAAACAGGCTAATAGTTATTATTTTTTTTTAAAGAAAATCTAATAGATTATCGGAATTATATTTGTACAAAAATATGAAATCCTAAAAAAAAAGTAGTTTTAAACATTTTTCCCCTCCATATCAATAGTTGACTTTGTAAGTTAATGAAATTTCAATGATTAACAAATGTTTCTCTTAGATCTAAATAACTGCAAATAGATGAAGATTTTAAAAATTATTGTAAGTGAGCCGTGTTTGGAAGATTTTATCTTCAACGCAAGCAAGAGATACCGGTGTTTCCTGCTGTATTTCACAACCATAAATTATTAAAATGTTAAATATAATTTTTTTCACTTATTTTGACCTATTACACAAAATAATAGAAGAATAGCATGAAAAATTTGTTTAATAAAAATTCTACATCAAATGGTAAAGCCAAGAAATTAATTATGAATGGTGTAAATAAATTTAGTATAATCGCATGATAGATTTTTTTTCCTGGTTTATATACTAACAGTAATTTATGAACTTTAAACTATGCATTCGAATAGTGTTAATCTTTCTATGTTTTAGTTATTCTCGTAAGCTGTATTTAGAACTCGAAGTAACTTTAAGAATATTTTTTCTTCTTCTGAAAATGTGTCTAATGGATGCCGAAGTGTCGTAAATCATACACAGTACGCCACTGATACGACAAAGTAACATCTGCCGAAGGATATAAATTTCCGAATTTTCTTTCTTTTTTTTTTTAAATGGCTTCTGAATTATTTACGACTACTTAACTTCATATTTATTTTTTCCCCGAAATTTTTAGTTTTTTTTCTTTATTTTGTTTTGTCCTTAACAAAGAAGTTCCGTTATTTATGAATAGTCTTATGTTATCTCCCTTTAGTATATTTCTTTTCGGTTGGACGAAAAAGTTTATTCTATTTTCTACAAAATTTATCGTTGAATCATTTTTCTTCATATTTTGTGGTGCTTTGATTGTTCGGTATTTTTCTGTGTTTCGTTTCAGAGAT